ACCCGTTCCTTCCCCGGGAGAAGAGTGGAGGGCGGGCAGGGGGTGGAGCGAACAACGGTGAGCATCACTCCAGACCCCGAACCTCCAGGTCAGTTCCCCGCTTGGGGGTAGGGATGGGACAGAATGATCGATCGTGACGGATGCCCCATTTTGGAACCTGATTCCCGAACGGAAGTTTAGTTGCACCCGGCTTGGCGTGGGAGATGGAGTGTGGGAAATTGATGCCAGGTCGTGCGTAGACGTTCCTGGGGAGCAGAGCTAGAGCCTCTGTACTGTCTAGCCTCTCATTGGACCAAGCTGCCGTAGGGCGGCGGCCCAAGCAGATCCTGTCTCCCTTTCACCACACCCCCTCAGGGCCAGCCAGCCCCGTGCCTATTTAAAGGCTTCTACACCCTCCCCGTGGAGCCAGAGCCCCAGAAAACCCCGCTAGGGAGCCCTGGCCTCCCTGCAGGAGGGTTTCAGCAGAGGAGGATTTGGGTGGCAGAGTGAGGGGGCGGGGGTGGGGGGAAGTCCCCATTAGAGGCTGGGCAGTGCCAGACACAGCCATTGTTGGCGGCACCCCCTGGCAGCAGCTGATGCCAAGCAGGGACTCTCCGACTGGGGAGGGAGAAGCACTGGGCTGACAGCCGGTCACAGGGAACTTCTTGGGAGTCCCATGGTGTTGCTTATGGGCAGGGGGACCCCCGGGGGAGCATTGCCCCTCCTACTGGCTGATCCCATCCCTGGGGGCCAAGCTCCAATCCTCTCAGGCACACCCTCCCGCTGCTGGTCACCCCTGTACTGACAGCTTGTGGCAGCCTCTGCCCAGGCAGTTGATCAATGAAACAGGATCTGGGTAAGGACATCTGGAATCCTCAGCGTGGTTCCTGCCTCCCCAAACTCAAGGCCAGAGGTACAGCAGCTGGACTGAGCAGGGCCTGGCTCTGCCGGCTGAGGCCACAGGTCCCTGGGGGCCTGGAGTGGGTGGAGGGTGAAGGATGGGGGTGGGGGGCAGGGTGCCAGTCTCTGGCATCTGCCTCACCGCACTGCCCAGAAAAGGGCACTGAGGCTCCTGGGCCCTTCCTCTATACTTCTCAGGGGTTGCTGGAGCAAAAATGACCTTGTCCCTCACTCCCCCCAGTGCCCAATGGAGGACAAGAAGAAGAAAAGGAGCCCCAAGCCTTGCCTGGCACAGCCAGCTCAGGCCTCAGGCACGCTCCGCAGGGTCCCTGTGCCCACCAGCCACAGCGGCTCCTTGGCCTTGGGACTCCCTCACCTGCCATCCCCCAAGCAGCGTGCTAAGTTCAAGAGGTAGGTGAGACGGAAGCAGGGCTAAGAGGAGGGGAGCCCAACTCTGGGCTGAACCTTGCAGGGAGGCGAAGGGGGTCTTGGCCTTTAATTACTATTGGGTTTTGCTTTTGGTCACCCCAGGTACTTAGAGGCAAAGTTTGCCTGCCCACCCCGAGAACATTTCAGGGACCTCAGCAACAGCTGATGACTTGCTTGGGGACTGCCCAGATGGCCTCCAACTCCACCTCATCTCTCAAGTGTGTGTGTAGAGGGTGTCAAAGGTGAGAGTAGGGGCTGGAGCGATAGCACAGCGGGTAGGGCGTTTGCCTTGCACGCAGCCAACCCAGGTTTGAATCCCAGCATCCCATATGGTCCCCTGCGCACCGCCAGGAGTAATTCCTGAGTGCAGAGCCAGGAGTAACCCCTGAGCATCGCCGGGCGTGACCCAAAAATAAAAATTAAAAAAAGGTGAGAGTATATGGAAACTTCAGTACTTGGAGCCAGCAGCAGGAGAGAAGGCTTTAGAGAAGAATGGTTCAGTGGAGGGAGGGACGTTTGCTGATTTAAGGATAAAAGAAAGGTATTAGGGCCAGAGCAGTAGTACAGTGGATAGGGCACTTATCTTGCATACACTCAATCCGGAGTTCGATTCCTGGCACCATAGAGAGATCCCTGAGCACCAGCTGGTGTAGTCCAGAAAAAAAAAAATGGGTGCAAGAGAAAGAGAAAATGCCTGGGAGCTCAGGAAATGGCTCAAAGGGCCGGGGGAGATGGCTCAAAGGGCCAGGGCACATATGTGGGTGGCCTAGGTTCCATCTCCCAAACTACAGCACTATATAGTCCCTAGGCTGTCTAGGGACAACCACAATGGGGTGCAGCTGATGTTCAGGGCTGGGGCAGAAAGCACGGGAAACTCAAGTGGAGAGACAAGGGGGCTCAGACTGCAAAGGGCTTTCGGAGAGCCAAGTTCAAAGCAGCAGTTGAGTAAAAGAGGAGCAGAAGGGTATTTTGCAGAGGTAAGATGACTCTTGTAACAATGGAGGAATAAAAGTCCCCAAGTGTACTGATAAGAGTCCAGAAGGAGATATCAGCTAGCTGGCACATGTGCTTCGCATGCCAGAAGCCTGGCTTTCATTCCTGGCACCTCATGGTCCCCAGCATTGCAAGGAGAAACCCCTGATATCAGAGCCAGGAGTATCCTCAGAGTTCCACTGGATATGGTCCGAAACAGAACAAGTGAAACAGGAGCTGAAGAGATAGGCAGGGGTTAAGGTCACTTGGCTTGCACATGGCTGTCCTGCATTTAATCCCCAGAACCCTCTGTGGGCTCCTGAGCCCTGCCAGGACTGTGATCCCTGAGAACAGAGCCCTGAACACCCTGAGCATCGCCAGGTGTGGCTCCAAAACAAGAAGGAAAAGAAAAAAGTTTAGTGACCATCAGAAAGGACAAGTGACAGTCAGAGTCCCAGGAGGAATGAGAGCACTGTTGAGGCAGGAACCCAGGAGCCCCCTTTCAGATTGGCCAGAAAACACTGCTTCTTTGTCCATCTGCCTTCATGCCCATCCCTCTCCTTTACCACTCCTGGGCCCTGGAGGAGGAGCAAACGGCCACATACTATGTGGGACGTGACAGGAAAGTGTATTCTGAGTGAACAGGAGTGTTGGGGATCTCTGACTGGCCCCCCCTGTGACCAGATCATGTTCCCCACAGAGCAGGCAAGGAGAAGGGCCGCCCAGTGCTGGCTGGAGGTGGGGGCGGCCCTGCAGGCACCCCACTGCAGCATTCCTTCCTGACCGAGGTGACTGATGTCTACGAGATGGAGGGGGGGCTTCTCAGTTTGCTCAACGACTTCCACTCGGGCCGGCTGCAGGCCTTCGGTGAGTGTGGGCAGGGCAAGGGGCTGGGGGTCTGTCTGGGGAGCATGTGAGGGGCCAGCCACCCGCACTGGCTCTCAGAGATTCCCTCGTGCTGCTCAGGAAAGGAGTGCTCCTTCGAGCAGCTGGAGCATGTGCGGGAGATGCAGGAGAAGCTGGCGCGGCTGCATTTCAGCCTGGATGTGTGCGGGGAGGAGGAAGAGGACGAGGACGGGGGGCTCACCGAGGGACTGCCTGAGGAGCAGAAGCAGACCATGGCGGACCGCAACCTGGACCAGCTGCTGAGCAATGTGGGTTGTGACCAGGGACTGGGCTTCTGGGAAATCAGGTGTGAGGGTTGTGGGTTTCTGGAGGGGAGGGTGTGCATGGTCCCACACCACCCCCCTCTCCCTGGTGAGAAGCTGAGGGTCTGTAGACTGTGGGCCCTGATTCCCACCAGAAGAGCTCCCCAAAGCCTCTGGAGTTCGGCCTGGTGCCTTCTGACAGAAATTTCTCTTTTTTTTTGACAGCTGGAAGATCTTAGTAATTCTATGTATCCTTTCCCGGAGACAAATGTGTGTGTGTGTGTGTGTGTGTGTGTGTGTGTGTGTGTGATGGGGTGTGTAGTGCAGGAAGAATTTCCCAAATATACTAAAAGGTGATTGAGATTTTTTGTTTTATCTTGTTTTGGGTCACATCTAGTGGTGCTCAGGGCTAACTCCTACCTATGCTTAGCAATCACTCCTAGTGGGACTTGGGGAACATGTTGGGTGCCAGGGATGAACCTGGGTCAGCCACATGCAAGGCAAGCACCCTACCTGCTATAGTCTGGCCTCTCTGGCCTCTTTTTTAACTATTTATTAAAATCTTTGCAAGTACTTTATCTAGCCCCAATATGTCTTCCTATTCCATTAGCATTAAACAATTTCTCAGGAATCAAACCCAGGGCCTCACATATGCAAGGCATCATCATCCCAGAATAAGCCTAAGCCTTATTCTGACTCTATTCAGAATATATATGTATATATATGTATAGTTATTATTATTATTATTTGGTGGAGGGGGGCACACCTGGTGATGCTCAGGGCTTACTCCTGGCTCTCCACTCAGGAATTACTTCTGTTCAGTGCTTTACCTGCTGAACTATCTCTCCAGCCCCTGGACAATATTTTTACTAATTTACTCCTTGTCTAGTCCTAGCCAAGAAAGTATGATATAAGTACCTGCTGGATCTAGATCAAGAAAGAGGCACAAGGGCCACAAGAGGCACCTTCCTCCCAGCACAAACTGGGGATAGCTCCAAAGTACCACAAGCAGGTGTGGTTAAAAAGAAAGAGGCCATTAAGTCATGGAGTGAAGAGGGCTGGACAAGATTCCTACCTCAGAGGTTGGAGAGATGGCTCACATGCTTTGCCTGCAAGAGGCCCAGGTGTTCTCTGTAGCACAACAGGGTCCCCTGGGCACTGCCGAGACACATGAAACAAAAAATATTCCTATCTCAGATTCCTACCACTCTGAATCAGAAACCCTCACCCCGACCTGCGGTGCATTTGTTTGTTTTTCTGGCTTTTTGGGTCACACTCTGCGATGCTCAGTCTGCACTTAGGAATTACTGCTGGTGGTGCTCCGGGGACCATCTGGGGTGCCAGAATCGAACCTGGGTCAGCTGCGTGCAAGGCAAACGCCCTACCCGCTGTACTATGGCTCTGGCCACCCCCTTCCAGACACCCCACGTGGTGCGTTTGGGACATTCAGTCCTGCATGGTGGGCGGACTGGGGAAAGAATAGGTGCATCACAGTCCTTGACTGGCACAGACAGAAGCTGCACCTGGCGGAGAACGCGGAGCCCGAGGAGCAGTCAGCCGCGTAGGCTTCGAACCAGGCCTGGACTGCCCATCTCCTTCCTTCAAAACTGTGACTTTTTACGGACTCGGTTGGGTGTTCCACCGCCCCCCAGGTGCTATGGGTAGGGGGGCCCCTGGAAGGAATAAAACAAGAAACAAAAGCAAGCACTGCTCGATGATGTCTTCCCTCGCCCCTTCGCGCCTGGACTCTACCGAGGCACCCCAAAGCCCAGCCCGGGTGGAAACGCGCGCAACAACAGCTGGAGGCTCGGGATGAGCCGCTTCCCGAGGCCGGCGAGGGGCGGGGCCGCGGCGGGCGCGCGGGCCGTTGCCTTGGAGACGGCGGGGCGGGGCGCGGCGCGGCGCGGACGGGTGACGCATTGCGCAGGCGCCGGTGGGAGGGTCGCGCCGGGATGGAGCTGGAGCCGTTATCGCGGAAGGTGGCGAGGCTGCAGGTGCGGACTGGGCGGCGCCGCCGGGACCCCTCCGCAAGCCCTCGCAGCTGGACCCCGGAAACGGGCGAGGCTCCGGCGTTTAGTCCGCTGCACGCGCGCCAACCGTGCCCACCGCGCGGAAGAATGCTGGGACCCAGGGGCTGCCCCGCGCGCCCCGCGCTTCCACCGCACGCTCCTGCGGGATCAGGGCCGCCGGGGTGCAGGTGGAACAGGGGATCCAGTCCAGCCTGCTCCCTCGGCCCCCCCCTAGCCGCGGCGCACAGCGCTCGGTTCCTTTCGCAGTTACCGCAGAAACCCCGAGACGTCCCCACTTTTGCAGTGACAAGGGTTTTCTCTCTCGTCCACACCAGGCCTGTGTCCGGGGCTTCTTAGTCCGTCGCCACTTCCAGAGCCTGCGAGCTGAGTATGAGGCTGTTGTCCGAGAGATTGACGGCGACCTGGGCACGCTGCAGTGGACCGAGGGCTGGCTTCCCACGCCCCGGTTTCCTCCACAGGTAGTAAACACCCCGAGAGAAGCGGGGAGGAGTCGGAGGGACCTGGGTAGGAGGTTAACGGTTAGATTGAACCGTCCCTTCCGCTGACATGTTTTCTCACTGGTAGTGGTAATCCTCACCTCACACCCCAATTCTTAATCCCCACCCCGACTCCAATGTGTCTGTGGAAGTATGTTGCCCACTAATGGGAATCTGATTTCTCAGAAGGCGAAATCTCCCTGCATCCGGCCAGCTGGAGAACGGAGAGCGAATCCAGAGCCGGCGCAGCAGAACCGCTGGCTACGTAAGAAGCCTGAGGAAGAGGCCATCCCTGAGAAGACAAGGCCAACAGTGTCAGGAGAGAGCTCAGCATCTGCCCGAAGGGTGCCCTGCCCAGATGCCAGGCCCTGGCCCCAGGGACAGAACAGGAAACCCTGCCGAGAGCAAAGTGCAGACGGGCCGTGGATGAAGAAACCAGGTACCTCTGCTAGAGTAGGGCCAAGTCCAGCACTCTGGGCCTCCGCTCCCCCTGCTGAGGCAGAAGGCTTGTGCTAGATGAACTGCCTCCCCCTTCTGCCTCTCTGGGGTAATATAAAAGTGTGCAGGGCACCTGTGTACCCGTACCCACCTCTTAAAACTTTCTCCCTTCCTCTCTTACTTAGAGACTGCAGGTCCAGGACTGCCCTGCAGTCAGACCGAGCTACAGGAGCTCCGCAGCCACTTGGCCATGGAATTGCTGTGGCTTCAGCAGGCCATCAATAGCCGTAAAGAGGTGGGCACTCACTGGGAGCTCTTCCAGCATGTTTAGGGCTCGCTAAGGGTTGGGGTCGGGCAAGCCTCCTGCCTCATCCAGTCCGACCAGCGTGGTATGGTGTCTGTTCTCTTCTCCAACAGTATCTAATCCTCAAACAAACACTGAGGTCTCCAGAGGCCTGTCAGACGAGAGACAAGCCCAGCGGGTATCCAGACGATGAGGGACAGGTCTATGAGAGCCCCACACGGGAAGACCAGTCCTCCAGCAACAGGACCACTGGAGAGAGAGACCACGCAGAAGATGCCTGCTGGGGGTTCAGACCCTGCAAATCCCCAGAACGATGGGCTACTATAGACAGAAGTACTGTTGGGTCCAGGCCCAGGGACCCAGGCCAGAGGAAGACTGGGCCACTACTGTCTACAGTACCCAAGAACCTGGCTAGAGAGCCAGGCCATGGGAGACAGAGCTTGGGAGGGCCCTGCCAGCAATTGAGGAACTCCCTGGAGGATCTGACCCCCAAAGGTCTCTGTTCTGAGGAAGCCAGGACGCATCCACCTGCAGTCTCTGAGGACCCACACATTAAGGACAAGTTTCCTAGAGCTCTGGACCACAAAGAGCCTGACTTCCAGAGAGCCAGGCCACAAGAACTGGGCCACTCAGATGACTGTGTCTCCTGGGATGGGCCCTTGGCAGGGCTGCCAGAACATGGCGGCCTGGATCTCTGGGGCACTAAACCACCCAAGGGCCAGACCCTTGGTGATCAAAGTACTGGCGATAGAGCCACCAATATGGCCAATCATGAAGGATGGAAAAACCAGAGGGGAACACCCTGGAGAGCAAGCCCCCCTGAAAAACGGTCTCCTGCAGCTTAGACTAGACCAAGAGGATGGTGGCGGCTGGGGGTGGGGAAGCTGTGGAAATGGGACCTCCAGGCTACCCCCCAGAGAGTTGCATGGGGGATGCCAGGAAAGGGTTATAATGGAGGCAGGGCCTCATCCTAGCTCCCTCATGTCAGCCAATGACCTAGGCCTGCCGTTGGTGGCTGGTGGGGTCGAGAAGCTGGAATGGGACAGAAGCAGTAGTATAGCTGGTAGGGTGTTTGCCTTACACACGACTGACCCAGGTTTGATTCCTGGCATCCTGTATGGTAACCAGGAGTAATTCCTGAGTGTAGAACCGGGAGTAACCCCTGAGTATTGCCAGTGTGACCCCCCAAAAAAAGCGAGAGAGAAGCTGGAACAAATTGCTGGCTCCAATGTGGGAACAGGCAGAAAGACATTTTTCATGCTTTGTTAGGGGCGTGGGGGATATGGTGGGAAGGCGGAACACTAATGGAAAATAAAGGGTATTCTTTGGTTCTGGGCCCGGTTGCATTCGTCTTTCTCTGGTCAGATCAGACTCTTGAATCCTACCTGTTTCCTGCTGACCTGGGCTGTCCTCCATAGAGCCACACATCAGGACCCACTCACCACCCTTATGGTATAGCCCCCCACAGCTGATCCTCCTTGGAACTCACCCTTGGGGCTCCAGAGGGGAAGGCTGGCTCCGCATCTTCCCCTGTCCACTGCACAACTGTCTTTGGCCAGGCCCCTCGCTCAGCCCCAGAACTGTTTGGATTCATTGGAGGGTTGGGCCAGACCTGGCTCAGGTCTTACTCCTGGCTCTGAGCTCAAGGGGACCCTTTGTGGTGCTGGGGGTTGGACCCAAATCAAATGGATGCAAGGTCTTACACTCTGTCATATCTCTCAGACCCAAACAAAAGCTTCCTCCTTTTCAAAGAGCCACCATACTTGTCCTACTCTTCTGTTTGGGGGTGTGGACTTCCCCATGCGGTGCCAGGGATTGAAACTGGGACTCAGTTTCCTCCCATTGGCCGGACCCTATCTGCCCTGCTCTTGTGAGGTGCAGCAGGGGCACCTGGAGGAAACCCTGACACCGTCTTGCCAGAGGCTCGCCCCCTCTTCCTGGGCAAGAAGGCAGGACTTGACCTTTGGCCCAGTTCCCAGCTCTATCTTGTTGCCTGGCAACAGCTCTGCGTCTCTAACTAGGGACGCAGCATGGCGGGAGGAGGCAGTCCTGCTAAGAGGATAGTGGTGAACCGGAATGGGGATCCTTTCTCCCCAGGCCGCAGGCTGGTGGTGACCCATCGCCGCTTCCCCACGCTGGAGACCTTCCTCTGTGAAGTCACTTCAGTGGTGCAGGCCCCGCTGGCGGTGCGAGCCCTCTATACACCCCGCCATGGTCACCCTGTCACCGACCTTGCGGACCTGCAGAATGGAGGGCAGTACGTGGCTGCGGGCTTCGAGCCATTCCGCAAGCTCCAGTGAGTGCTCGCGGGCTGCTAGGGAGCCGGGAGGGATGTGGCTCACTCGGACATCGGACCATCTGTTCCTGGCCTGTAGCAGCCCCCTGCAGAGGCAGCCTTATTCCCATTCTTATTATTTTTTTTGGGGGGGGAGGGTGGGCACACCTAGCAGTGCTCAGACGATATGGCATGCCAGGGATTAAAACCGGGTTGGCTGCATGCAAGGCAAGTGCCCTGCCCGCAGTACTGTCTTTCCAGTCCGCCTCTCCATTTGGAAATGAGGTGACCTGCCAGAGTACCCCAAACAGCAGAACCACACTTCAGGTGTGAGCCAGCACGCAGGAGGATCCCAATCCAGGAAAATTTTCCTCCACAGGGAAGCCCCTTTTCAAAAGCCCTTGATGGTCCCACCCCCCCACCCCCACCCCATCACTGCTCCCAGACATCTGTCCTTCTTCACCCCATTCTGCTGCGTTTAGGCAGCCTTTTTTGAGGGCTGGGACTGGGGTGGGGAAAAGGGAGGGGGGTTGTGCCTTCCAGAACTACAGAGGGAATGTGAGCATCTGAGTTCCCTGCTCAGTTTTTTGTTTTTTTACTTTTTGGGTCACACCCAGCAATGCTCCCGGCTCTGCACTCAGGAATTACTCCTGACAGTGTTTGGGGAACCATATGGGATGCCAGGGATTGAACCCGGGTCGGCCGCGTTCAAGGCAAACGCCCTACCTTATCGCTTCAGCCCCCCCCACCAGTTCTAATGGTGGAGGCTCACAGGGGCGGGAGCTGGCCCAAAGGGGGCTCTGTCACTTCCATGTTACTGTTGGTGAGTAACATGTAAAATGAGATTAAACCACGTGGTCTCATGTAAAATGAGATTTAACCACCTATCGCAGGAACTGATGAAATTCTTGGTTACCTGAGCACCTCCAAGTGGCGACGCCCCACATCCAGCACAAAAAAAAATGCTGGGATGTTAGAATACTTTGTGTTATTTGGTTTTTGAGCAATAGCACAGCGGTAGGGCGTTTGCCTTGCACACAGCCAACATGGCCGACCCGAGTTCGATTCCTCCGCCCCTCTCGGAGAGCCTGGCAAGCTACCGAGAGTATTCGATATGCCAGACACAGTAACAACAAAGTCTCCAATGGAGACGTTACTGGGCCCGCTCGAGCAAATCGATGATCAACGGGAGGACAGTGACAGTGACAGTGGTTTTTGGGCCACACGCAGCAAACAGAGGGGGATCACTCCTGGCAGTGCTTGAGGAACTCTACAATCCTAGTGCTTAAACCTGGGATTGTAGAGTAAGCAAAGTATACAAAGTAGAGTGCTCCAGTCATACATACATCATACAAAGCATGTGCTCCAGTCCATCAAACTGTCTATATGGCCTAAATTAAAATACTTAATTTTTTTTTTGTTTTGGGCCATACCCAGTAGTGAGCATTCCTAGTGGGTCTCGGGATCACATGCCATGCTGGGGATCAAACTCGAGCTGGTCAAGGCAAATGCCTTACGTGCTGTACTCTCTGGCCCTGGCCCTTGATCTTTATTGAATTTTTTTGACATTGGGCCATACCGGGGTTTACTCCTGGCTCTGCACTCAGGATCACTCCTGGTGGTGCTAGGGGACCACATGGAGTACTGGAGGTCAAACCTGGGTCGGCTACATGCAGTGTAAGTGTCCAACCTGCTATCTCTCTGGTCCCTCATATTTTGTTTCTGGGTCACACCTGATGGTGCTCATGGATTACTCCTGGCTCTGTACTCAGGGAGTACTTCTGGCAAGCTTGAAGACCATATCAGGTGCCAGAGATTGAACCCTGGTCAGCTGTGTGCAAGGCAAGAGCCCTGCCCACTGTACTATCTCACCTTGCTCCTTGATCTTTATTCTTTTGACTCATGGCTGGGATTCAGTTTCAATGTTCAGCCTGACCCAGGACCAGAAGGTAGGTTCAGGTGTAAATACTGCATCAGTTTCTGGATTGAGATTATTGAGACTCTTTGGTCGAGGAGGGATATCTGGCAGTTACACAGCCAGGTCTAAGCTCTTGAGATGACCTCTGACCTTGTGTTCCTCCAGTTACTTACCCCCTGGAGGGAAGGAGCCAGGTGGGAAGAGCAGCAGATCACTGGTGAGTCCTGGAGGGCCACCCGGCCCTCTCTCCCACCCTGCCTCAAACTGCTCCTGGTTTGGTCTGGGAAGTTGGGCCTGGAAACCTCAGGACTGACCAGTTCCTTGGGGTTCACCCCGGCCCTCTAGACCCAGTGAGAGCCTTCCTGGGGTGCAGGAGTTCCCAACTATCCTTGTCCTTCTAGCTTCTCACTTGACTTCCAGGCGATCTTCCTCAAAGGGAGAGGAGGATGTAAAACCCCAGGGGTGGGGGAGCTCAGAATGAGAAGCAGGGGAGGTGGAAGCGCCCTTTGGTGAAAGGGCACCAACAGGTGTGAGCCCCAAACAAACCAGTCCATCTCTCCATGCCCCTCTGCCACTCAGGTTTCTTTCCTTCCCCACCCCTAACCCAAGGCCTCAACTCTCCCCTGATGGGGGTCCTGACTGATATTCCAGGCTCGGACTCAGGGTGCCTGTGATGGGAGCATTGGCCAGCGGGAGAAGGCAGGTGTCCCCTGCTGTATCCGGTGAGTTTGGGGTTGGCAAGGAGATTTTTTTTTCTTTTTAGGTCACAGCCAGAGATGCTCAGGAGTTACTCCTGATTCTGCACTCAGGAGTTACTCCTGGTAGTGCTCCAGGGCCATGTGGGATGCTGGGGATCAAACCTGGGTTGGCCGTGTGTGAGACAAATACTCTCCCTGCTGTACTATTACTCTGGCCCCGACAGGGAGGTTTTGTTTCAGGGGTTTGGCTCTAGGAGGTGCTGGACACTGAGGATCTAAATGGCCAAACACTTGATGGGTGAAAATGGAGCAAAGCGATGGCTGTCAGCCTGTCTTCCAGTCCCTGTGAGGCCCCGAGCACACATAAGCGAGTCCTAGGAACCCTCCCCCTGACCGGGCTGCTCTCTGTCCCAGGGTGTTCAGGAATGGGGACCTACTGAGTCCCCCATTTAGCCTGAAGCTGTCCCGGTCTGCCTGTGAAGACTGGAAGATGGTACTGAAGCTCTTGACAGAAAAGGCGAAGTTACAGAGTGGGGCTGTTTGCAGGTGAGTATAGGGCTGGAAGGGCCCCAAACTTCCCCACAGGGAACGTTCCTACTGGCCTGCAGTGAACACAGAAAAGGCTCTTGGTACGTAGGACATATGCACCAAGGCATTCTTGGGGCTAACTTCCCTTCCTTACAGTATGTGTTGTCCCTGAGGATTACAGGCCAAAGGAAACCATGTCCCCACGCTGGGATTTCTTCTCATGTCACTGAAGAGATTCCTCCAGCCCAGCACTCAGGGCCAGGGCAGAGCCTAGGTGAAGGCCGGGTGGCAGAGAGCTGGCAGCTGCCTTGGAGCAATTGTGTCCATCCTACAGTCCAGTGACTTTGTTTTGGGGCCTGTTGGTGCTCAGGGCATCATGTGGGACAGGGGACAGAATTCTCTCTTGTGCACTCAGTCCTTTGAGCCCTCTCCGCTTGCCTCAGACTCTGTACCCTGGAGGGGCTCCCACTGTCTGCAGTGGATGCCCTGGTGAGTGGCCGTTACTATGTGGCTGTCGGAGAGGAGGAGTTCCAGGCCCTGCCATATGTGGAGCTGCTGGTGCCCGACCCCTCGATGCCCAGGGGGTGTTGGTACGTATGTGGGAGGGGAGCAGCAGCATGCTTGCACCGAGGACACCACCTTGACACATGAGTTTACCATGAGCCTTTTTGTGTTCACTGTAGGCACGCCCCAGGCCCGAAGTCTCGGCCCTACAAGCAGGAGGTAGGTAATGGGGGACCCCGGGTAGGGGAGAAGAGGTGTGGCACGGTGACTCCTCCAGCTCAGGTTAGCTCACTGTATCCTCTAAAAGATCCGTGACAGTTATTATTCCTGTGTTCTAGAGGAGAAACTGAGGTTCAAAGAAGACAAGTGATTTGTTTGGTGTTGACAGTTACTGAATGGCAGGGAATAGGCCTGGGCTGGAAGCCTGGTCAGCTAGGCCCAGCAAGATCCCTGGGCTCAGGTTTCCCTGCAGGCCTGGCACAGGGCGACAGAGCTGGCATCTCTGCAGTGGCCCCAGGAACCCAGTCGCACCCCCTCATCTAGGGCTGGGCCCATCTGCCACCTCGGCCACTGCCCTGGTCCTGGCTAGGGGCACCTGAGAGGAAGCAGGAGGTGCTGCGGCTCTGGAGATGGATGGCACCCATCTCCCATGTACCCAGACACGGGGCAGTCAGGCCTGGGTTGGGAGGGGAGAAGGGAAGCCCAGCCAGCACCCAGTCTCAGCTCAGTGTCCTCTCTCTAGGCCCGTGGCTCCCGGGTGCTGGCAACCCCGCTCTCTCCAAAGGAGTACAGCGGACCTGAGCCATCTGTTTTCTATGCTAGACCCCAGCAGGCTGGTCAGCCAAGAAGCGAGCCCCCTAGTCTCTTACTCTCACCAGGTGAGGGTCCTTGGGCCCGAGGGCCCTCTCAAGTCCCCTCTGACAGTGACAAAGTCCTGAGCACAGGGCCAGGAATACCCCTGAGGAATACTGGGAAGGCTGAAAACTCAGAAAAAAAAAAGCGAGGGGGTGGGGTGGGGCTTAGAGGACGTGACTCAGTGGAAGAATACAGGCCTTGCATCAAGAGGCCTGAGTTTCATCCTTGGACTAAAAAAGAAAAGCAAGCAGTCCGTGCACACTCAGCACTGTGAGATGAGGGGCAGGAGTGGGAAGGGCTGGGGACAGGCCTCTGCGCTGCCTCTGAGCTTCCCTGCCCTACTCCCAGGTGGTGAGGAATGAGGAATGGGGAACAAAGCTCAGGCTGGGGAGGGAAGGAGCAGGAACAAAGGCCGAGGGCTCCTCAGCTGCTCACCTGCCCTGTGGCTGACCTCCTCAGGAGTCAATGGAGTCTATCATGCTCCCCACGCAAGGAGGGAGGCAGCAGGGGTCCCAGAAGTCGCAGATGATGAGGACACCAGGACAGAGGAACCCTTGGACCAGGTGAGCTGGGAGCTGGGCACTGGCCAACTGCTCTTTTGCCATGCCTGTGAGCAGACCTGCCATTCTGGAGCCGGGGCTGCCGCCCTGTCCAAGCAGAGGGCAGCTCCCTTCCTAGACGCTCCTCCTTTCCTGGGGTAGGGGAACCCTAGGGGAGGACTGGGCACTGGAGAGGGGATGTTAATGGCGACGTCTATTTGGCCTTCTCTCATCCAGAGGGCAGCACAGATCGTGCAAGAGGCCCTGTCTCTGGAAAACCAGCCTGTGGTCGAAGCATCTTTCTCAGCCTCGGTGCCTGCTTTGCCATCCTGAAACGGGGCACCTCTGGCCAGGACCTGGTAGGACTCTGCCACCGCCTTTGTCTTCGGGCTCCAGCAGCTGGTTGGTTGGTTCCTGAGGGCCAGGCGCTCCCCTGGGTGCCAGGGTCCACTGCAGTCTCAGTCCTTCCCCTCTCTCACTCCCAACCCACAGACCAGCTTGCATCCCCTGAGCTGAGCAGCCCTGGCCACCGAGGCCATTTCCTTATGGGGTTCCCTGGCTAGGAGACCACTGGGAGGAGACCACAGCTTGGGAAGAGGCCTGCACAATAAAGAATACCTTCCACCTCTGCTTCCTACAGATTTATTGCAGGCACTGCTCGCCAAGCATCTCACCGTGTACTGGAGACAGTGCTGGGGTTCATGGTATGTCTGAGCTGGGCAGTTAGGGTGCCCACCTGCATCGTGGTGAGGCAGGCAAGGCTGGTAGCTCGTGTACCTCTGCCCCTGTCATCCTGAAGCCCTTCTCCCCAGGCCTGCTCCCCGCCCCCGCCCCTGTCCCCATCCCCCCCAGCCAGTCATGGCCTCTGTCTGCACCTGGGAAGCCTGTGGCCCACATTTCTGGCTCAGAGGAAGTGTCTGCCTATAGTGGGGCTTCATCACCCAGCCATGTGTGGTCCAGATCAGACCTGGGTAACAGTGGCTGCACTGAGTGTTAGGCAGGGCCACAGGGAGTGAGCTGCTGGGGCAGAAAGGTCAGTGGGGCTGCCCAAGAAGTCTTTTGTGCTAAATCCTAGCAGTCAAACAACACTTGAAAGTTCTGAAACTCTTCATGCTTGCTCTCACTGCAATCCATGAGGTAGCTGTACCCACTAGGGGTACAGAAGTTGAGGCTTCAAGGGAGGAAGTGCCCGCCCGTCTGCTTTCTGCTTGCACCTCGGGGCTCAGGGCTCCTGAGATGGCACAGATGGAGAGGCAGCAGCCTGCTCAGAGGGCAGACGAGTGCTCCTGGGTCTTGCTCACTGAGCTTGAGATGCAGAGTGTAATTCCCGTCATGGTGAGCATCATGCCTGCGAGTGCTCCTGGAGTCATGGAGAGAAATCAAGAGGATCTGAGTTCAGCGGTACCCAGAGGAACTGGTACAGGACTGAGGAGAGGGCTCAGCTGGGATCTGACCCAGATGGGCCAGGGGAAGGACACTGCTGGCTACAAGGAAGCAGGGGTGCTCCAAAGGAAAGGGTCAGGATTGGGGAAGGTCCTCTCACCCACCATGGAAACAGCTCTGGCATTTGACCCATGTTTCAAAGCCTTGGCCCGATCCGCAGTGGTGACTTACCTTTCCCACCAATGTCTTCTCCAAGGATCTTGCCCACAATCATTGTGAAGATGATGGCCAGAGAGTTACTGATGGGCACAGCTAGGGTCAGATCTGAGTGGTCAGAATGAAAAGAATCTCTGATATGCAAAAAGTGCCTTCTAGGGGGCAGAGACAATATGCAGGGGTTAAAGTGTTTGCCTTGCATGCGGCTGACCTAGAGGCCAGCCTATCCTCTCACCCTCCCAAGACATCTGAAGGGTTCCCCAGAGCCCTTTGGGGGCCAGACTCCCTCAAGGCACCTTGGAGTCTGAGTGAGATTCCAAGAATGGCCAAAACCACAAAAGTGGGATGTTCAAGAGCAACAACCAGTAGAACATCTCAGCCTGTTGTGCACTGACTAGAGTGCATGGGCTGGTGACGTCTGCCCCTAGGGCCAGCATGCAGACACACACAGCATGTGACCGGCACAGTATCTGCCTGGCACAGTGGTGGGTGGCGAACAATGAAGAAAGGACCTTTCTGAGTATTGAGATCATACAGGTCTACCAGACACCCTGCTCGATGCTTCTCATTCCCTGAAATTCTTCCTCACGATCTCTGAACCCAAGCACATCAAATCGAACTTCAAATAAGAGATCTATACAGGATCAGCACACACAGAGTAAATGAGTAGCAAAGCTGGTCTATGGCACAGCCAGTGAGCCCTCCTCTTTTTTTCTGCTTTTTGAGCCAATCCAGAAGTGCCAGGGTTTACTCCAGTGTCTGAGCCCAGGGATCACTCCTGGAGATACTTGGGGAACCATACGTGATGCTGGGGATCAAATCCGGATTTGCTGCATGCAAGGCAAGCATCTTTCTTGCTGTGTTATCTCTCCAGCCCTGCTCCTTCTCTCTTTAGCTACTGCTGCATAAGAAGGCCTAGTACCATAAAGCAAGTCCAACAGCCCCGTTACCACCAGCTTGGGGCCGTGGTTCCCTCCCCACCTGTTCTTTCAGGCACCTCCATCACTAAGCAGCGGTTTCAGCCCATGGACCCACCTGTCGATGCCAAGGTGAGGTAGTAGAGAAGGGAGCCACACTGGTTGAGGAAAAAGGGCAGCAGGTACTGGAAAGCAGAAGAAACCCACAGTGAGTGTGATGCTTAACTGGGCAGCACCGTCTCTGAGAGGCCCAAGCTGGGCGCCTTTTCTTAGAGAATACAGGGGGCCTAGGGAGCAAAATGCTTTCTGAGAAGATCCTTCCCACCAGAGGGAAGGTTACTCACAGAACCCATACTTAGCCCCGAGTGTCCTCTGCCCTCGGCCTGTGCACTCCTGGGCACCAGTGTCTCTCTCCCAAACCTCCCCCCACCCCTCCCAGAGCTGCCTCCCTCCAGCCTCCTGCAGAGTCCTGCACGCTCAGAGATGCTTGTGTCTTGTCCTTCCCACTAGCCTAGGCTGACAGCGTATGGTCAGAGCTAGTTCTCCAGATCCTTCTTTGGTGGTTGTGCTGGGGCTACTCCCCATGCAGTGCTCAGGAGGGGAGAGAGGTGCTGGTCCCAAAGGTGCTTGGGGGACCATGCAGTGCTGGGAATCGAACCTATGGCTCCATGGGGTCAGGGAGATAGCTCAAAGGGCTCAAGTCCAGAGGTCTGTGTTTGAGTCCTGGTACCTCACAGTCTCCATGCACCGTCAGAAGCACCAAACAGGACACAGCCCCTGAGGACTTCCTTGTGGGAGTCCAAAACCAAAAATAAAAACAAGCTAGGGGCTCACGTATATAAAGCATGTGTTCCAGCCCTTTGAGCCATTTCCTTCTGATTCTCCCTCCCAGGGACTTCTGGAAAAGTCTGCTGAAAGAAACACCCTTATAATAAAGGCAGCCATTGGCCATTGACTGAGCGCCAATTATGCACTATGCCCAACAGAACATGCTTTATCTGCCCACTTATTTCTCTCAAGCGTCCTCTAGGACGGTCTCCATGAATATTCCCATTATTTTATGAACGATGAAACCGAGGCTCATTCAAAAGCTTCTATCGGAGTGGAGCTCAGGGCTGGGGCATTGGACGGCAAAAGTTCCAAGCCAGTGCTGGGGGCCCGAATTCCAACCCAGACCTGTCCGCCGCCACCGGGGATCAAATTCTTAGCAGCTTGGCCCCGAGGGCCGGGGTGGGGGGCGGCATCCAGCGACGCACCTCAGTGTTGGAGAAGAGGGTCTTCACTTCCTGCAGCAACTGCCGGGCCCACGTGGGCTCCCGAACCTGCTGCAGGCGGGAGGAGGCCCGCTTCAGCAGCGGCTGGGTGCCACCCCACAGGGCGGCCACGAGCACCAGTGCCAGCACCTGCCCTGCACGGAGAGGCGAGCGAGCCTTTCCCACCCGGCCGCGGGCCCTGCCGCCCGCCCCCCGGCCCCCCTTTTCCGCCCCCCGCCAGCGAGTCCCGGGGCAGGGGCTGAGCGAGCCCGGGGCCGGGGAGGGGGCGGGGGAGGCCGCGGGAGCCCGAGCGGGGCGGGGCCGCTACCCACCGAGAGACGCCGCCATGGCAACGTCGTCCCTTCCACTTCCGGGGGCGAGGGGGCGGGGCTCCGCGACCCGGAAGCGGCGCGGGCCTCTTCCGGCCCGGCTCACGCGGCCGGCCCCAGGCTCTGCTCGCTTCCCCGCCGACATGGTGAGTTCCACCGAGGCGGCGTGTGGCCGCGGGGCCGCGGGGCCGGGCCTGTCCCCGCCAGGGGCGCTGACACGCTGTTCCTGTGCCCACAGAAGCCGATCCTGCTGCAGGGCCACGAGCGGTCCATCACCCAGATCAAGTACAACCGCGAGGGAGACCTCCTCTTCACGGTGGCCAAGGACCCTGTGAGCGCCGGCGGGCGGGAGCCCGAGAGCCCCGGGCCAGGACGGGGGGGGGGGATGGCGGCAGGACAGCCGGGGAGAGGGTGGCCGGGAGGAGACCAGACTGCACAAAGGGCTTTATTTTAAACTTAGAAAAAAAACTTCCGTGGGGCGGGGGATCACCCACAACAGAGCTGCCAGGACGGTGGCGTGTGGGACGCCCGGGATTTGGATTCGTGACCATATGCTGGCGGGACCCCGGGGAATCTTGCATACTGGGATAGGAATACAGACCATCTGGAGAAAATGTAGGGACACTGAGGGCTTCGGAAGGCAGTGTTCTCATGTCAGCGTTTCCTGGGCCTGTCGGGATGCTCACTCACTTTTCTGCCTTTTGAGGCACCTCCTTATGGGGGAAACGAGCACAGTTGTTGCAGGAGGAGAACTGAACCAAATCAGCCTGATTGGAACCTTCAAGGCTGCTAGCAACGTGTCGTTGCCAGAGTCATTGAATCTTTCTGTTGTCATTGACCACGTTTGTGTTTTTCTAAGATCTGAGAAATAATAAGGGTCTTATGGGCTCTAGGCCAGAGGCCTTAGGACATGGCCTTAGGATAAAACAAGATCATTCCTGCAAGTTGCTTAGTATAGTCTCGGGTGCACAAGACAGCCAGATGTCAATCCCTTACATCATTTTATTTTATTTTGTGGGAATTGATCAGACCCATAAGGCGAATGCTCTGCTGCTGAGCTACATGCTTGATCCCATGGTTTATTGTTTGGGCTGGGTGGGACTCCGGGAGCCCCGCCGGCCACTCCCAGTGCTCCATCCAGCAGTGCTTTGGAAGGCAAGTGGTATCAGTGATTGAGCTTGGGGCCTCCAGCCCTTTGAACTGTCTGCATGGCCCCTCTGCTATATGTTCTGTTCTTCTTGGGGTCTGAGAGTTAAGACAGTGGCAAAAGGAGCTGTTTTTTTTTTTGCAAATCTCCCAACACTCTGACCTTACCTGCAGGAAGGAGAATCTGAATTGGTCATTTCCCAAGAGATGACCAAGGAGAGGCAGAGTCTGGCCTGGCTTAGAGGCCGCCAGGAGTTTTGGGGGCAAAACAGGCCGTTACTGCACCTGGACTGGGTACCATCCTGTCACATTTCTGTTGGCTCCTTCAGATTGTCAATGTGTGGTACTCTGTGAATGGCGAGAGGCTGGGCACCTACATGGGCCACACTGGAGCCGTGTGGTGTGTGGACGCGGACTGTATCCTTGGCTTCAGAGTCTGCTGTGCGGTCTGCAAGTGATGGAGAAGTTCCTGAGTTGGAGGGTGGGAGTTTGGACTGTTCTCGTGGGTCTAGAGAAGGATCCCTACTCCTCACCAATCTGTTCATTGGTTGGAGAATAGCCCAGATACTTCCAGTTCTGGACGAGGAGATTGGAATGCTCTGGGGACTGAGAGAGGCAGAGAAGCTGCTTGGGACCAGGCCGACTATGCAGGTGGCATCTCTGAGGCAGGGCTCAGGTGAACTTGGTCATGTTTCTTAACACCCTCATCAGGGGACACCAAGCATGTCCTCACTGGCTCCGCTGACAACAGCTGTCGCCTCTGGGACTGTGAGACAGGTAAGCCTGGGTCTTTTTTGCTTTTCTAGCTGCAGTTTTGCCCTGTGAGTGAAAGGGATCCAGGGAATGAGACATCAGTCTCGAGTTCATCTCTAGTGTCAAAAAAAGGACATGAGGAAATAGGATGACTGATGAGAAAGAGGCACTAGGGCACAGAAGCCAGAAGCCATTGGCGACGATTGGGGCAGTATGGAAGGCCACAGGGTTTTCCTGAGGGAAATGCCAGAGGAGCCGGGTCTAAAGGGATGAGAAGATCAGCACCTCGTCCCTCAAAGGAAGAAAAGTATCACAGGTGTCCTGCCAAGCCACCTTGTCCCAAGGGCTTCCTGTGTCTTGGGCTGAAATGGAGATTATGAGATGGGCCTGGAAAGCCAAGGGCATGACCCTGTGCTGTGACACAGGAGGTCCCAGGACAGGAAAAGCTGTGGTGTTTTTGGAATATTGAGCAGCAGTAGGGATAAAGCCGAGGATGAAGGCGAGAGAGCCAGTGAAGCTGCTACATTTAGTCCTAAGCATCATCTTGCACCAGGCTCTGCCAGTGCTCTACTGGCCACTGGGAACACGGAGAAATGAGAGCGGGGCTTTGCCTTGGAGGTGTGCATTCTAGGGAGGAAACAATCTGTCATCATCTCTGAGCTGTGCCGTGTTAGGGGACCCGTCAAGGAAGTTGTAGAAAGACGGGCATACAGTACGGAGGAGGAGAGTCGGTGTGGGAGAAAGTGAGATGCGGGTCAGATGCGGCCTCCCACCCTCCGCCTCTTCCCAGGGAAGCAGCTGGCCCTACTCAAGACCAATTCCGCTGTCCGGACCTGTGGCTTTGACTTTGGGGGCAATATCATCATGTTCTCCACCGACAAGCAGATGGGTTATCAGTGCTTCGTGAGCTTCTTCGACCTGCGGGACCCGAGCCAGATCGGTGAGAGGTGGGGCTTGAGCTGCCTCTGCAAGGCAGGGTGCCGCTCCGAAGTGCGGGGCCTGACATTTGCTGCCCCACAGACAGCAATGAGCCCTACATGAAGATCCCTTGCAACGACTCGAAGATCACCAGTGCCGTGTGGGGCCCCCTAGGAGAATGTATCATCGCTGGCCATGAGAGTGGAGAGCTCAACCAGTATAGTGCCAAGGTAAGGGGCTGATGAGCCCAAGCCCACTGAACAAGTCCCTGGAGGTAGGGTAGTGCAGTGGGTAAGAGCATGAATTAGATTCAAACAGAGTTTACTGATATCTAGTGGTATGATTTGGGGCAAGTAACTTCTTTTTCACAAAACTTGGGTTTGTTTTTTTTTTTTTTTTTTTTGCTTTTTGGGTCATACCCAGCGATGCTCAGGTGTTGCTCCCAGCTCTGTACTCAGGAATTACTCCTGGAAGTGCTTAGGGGACCATATGGTATGCCAGGGATTGAACCTTGGTTGGCTGTGTGCAAGGCAAATACCCTCCCCGCTGGACTATCGCTCCAGCCCAAAGTTTTTGATTTTTGTTCTGGCTACACTCAGTAGTGCTCAGGGCTTACTCTTGAGTGGGCTTGGGGGACCATAATGACTGGGGACTGAACCCAGATAGTCACATCAAGGCCAGAGCCCTGCCAGCTGTACTATTGCTGTGATCTCATCCCTAAGTTTTTGTATATGCTTATGTATATGTGTATGTTTGTTTTTTCTGTTAATTTTGGTGGGGAGAGGCACACCCAGCGGTGTTCAGCAGTTTCTCCTGGCAGTACATGGGGGATGTATGGGATGCCAGGGTCTAACCTGGGTTGGCAGCATCCAAGGCAAGTGCTCTACCCACTGTGCTATTGCTCTAGTTCTAGTGTTTGTTTTACTGGTATAGCTATTAAGCCCAGGGCTTCATACATCCAAGGTGCGTGCTCTGCATATTCCCAGCCCTCACACCACATCGCTGATCCTTAATTTTTTCCTTTTAAAACTTCCATTAAAATTCCCACTTCAGGAGCTAGGGAGTTATTTCAAAGATCTGGAGCACATACTTGGCATGTGGGTTCTGGATTTGATCGCCAGCACTGGATGGTATATTATTTCTGCCAGGAATGACCCCTCAGCACCAAGCCAGAAGTAGCACCCCAGCGTCTCTGGGTGTTGTCCAAACACAGAACAAAAAGAAGCTTCATAGGGTTGCCAGGAGGATTTAGTGGCATATAGTGCTTAGCACAATGCTTGGTAAATAGGAGCTCTTCAAATATCTGTGGAAAGGAGTAGACAGGAGCTGCTCTGCTGTTCTGTGATGATGATTAATGCAAGGGGCTGTTGCTCTCTCATAAGCATGTGTTTTCTTAGATGAACCAGCTGTGTTTATGGGGCACATAGGCTTGCACTGGGGGAAGGATGTGAATGTGGATTCAGGGCATACTGGTCACTGCCAGCCCAGACTTCCTGTCCTACCCCTTCATACAAGAAGCAGTTCAACCCTGACTGAGCCCATCTCGTGAGGTTCTGTTAACACCTGCTCTTTCTCCCCAGTCTGGTGAGGTATTGGTGAATGTTAAGGAGCACTCCCGGCAGATCAATGACATCCAGTTATCCAGGGACATGACCATGTTTGTCACCGCATCCAAGGACAACACAGCCAAGGTGAGCCTGGCCGGGGGCCTTCTGGGGAGGCTCCCTGCTCCTGCACAACTCTTAAATTCCCTCCACTTCCCCCAAGGAGACCCCATTTGGCAGATTTTCCCCCTGCTTTGTCTCTGCAGCTTTTTGATTCCACGACCCTTGAACATCAGAAGACCTTCCGGACAGAACGTCCCGTCAACTCAGCTGCCCTTTCTCCCAACTATGACCATGTAAGGGAATCCTGTGTGCCACTTAATTTGCATCCAGGGAGATTGAATGAATGCCCGGCTCTTCTTACAACCCTGGAGGCTCCCCGGCACTTGTGAAGCTAGGAACCTGGGGGTGGCACCAGGCAGAGGGGAGGTTCCCAGGGCAGCTTCCAGGTTAGACCATTGGGAAATCTGTGAGGTGGGGCAGGCGGTGAGGAATATGGTCTTTCTCTGTCGTTACTCTCCTCCCAGTCAACTCTGAGGGAGTAAAAGCTGGGGATACTAAAAGGGGACTTGACTGCCCTTTGGGTCTGACTCGAGAGTTTATTTGGGGGGAGGGGACATGT